TTGTGAAATTTAATTTTCACCACGAGATTCAAAGAATAAAACATGATAATTATTTGCAGGGACATACATGTAGTATTAGCGCACAATCAAGCAAACAATGTCAATGGCACCTTTAGGTACATGACTGCATATCTAGAAAGAAAGTTGATTGATACGTTTGGAATGCTTTTATTGATTCATTTTATGCTTTCTCCCAGTCCTTGCTATAGGATTTCCTGGACCAACCATAATAATTTCACCAGAGCCTTACAGACTTAACAAACAAAACAAAAAAAAATATTCAGCCAAAACAAACTTAAGGTTATCAATTACTGTTGCTGTGTTGAAAATTCTCAATAAAATGAATGTTACTTTGGTCTTTATTCTACTTTTCAAATTCAATATTATTTCCTTTAAATTTACTTTTACTGATATTACAATAATGAAATTTTATCATGAATTGTTCAATGATGCTTAATTTGTGAAGCTACAGAGGTATAAAATAATAATTCCCTGTTTCCTAGAAACAGCATCAATGTAAAGAGAGGGTATTGTACGTGTATTTAAAAGGCACTCAGGTGTTTTGATTATAATTATCTTGACTCGTAACAATTTATTTTTTGTTTAATCTGTATTAACATAAAAATTAATAATATGTCCTCTTCACTATACACACTTTTTTAACTTAGCGGTAATAATAATGATAGTAGTATAATAGTAAAATTAATAATAATAAGAATCTAATAACTAATAATTATTGATAGCTAAAAAAAGTATTAAAATTCACACATCAAACTCTAAAGTAGTTCAATTAATTTCATATTTTTCATGCCCATCAAAGTTTCTTTTATTAACAAATGCAATGTTAACATCAAGACCCTTCTTCTTCTCTGTTTTTTTTCTTATAAGGCAGGTAGTAGTAATAATTCCAATGATAATTACAAAAGCAAAAATTATGATACCAACAAAAGATCCCACAATAACAATGGACTTGTCACTTTGGTCTTTGTTAGCATCAGTTGGCATTGGTGATGTCACTGAGGTACTGGTAGAAATTGTAGAATCATCAATAATCTCAGTGCCTACAAAAAAACTCAGTTTCATTCCCATATTGTTTTTGAGGGCTGTAAATTTTGAAAATTTGTCTAAAAATCTATTTTTCATATTTAATTTTCACAAAAATTAATCATACTGTCTACCATATTGTTTGGTATTAAATTGATTTTTGGCAAAATTAAGTTTCACAAAACTTTTAAAGAATTGCAAACTATAAATTCACAGCCCTTAAAAATTGTGCACTATAATAGTAAAAAACATCATGATCTTACTGCAGTTAGTTCCAGTGAACCTTGCTGAACATATGCACAAGTATTCTCCTGCAGCTATTTGACAGGTAGCACCATTTAGGCAGAAGTTCACTTCACAATCTTCATACACTATAAAAAATCTAATCAATTGCTCATTATGGGAGTAAACTATACCAGTTTCGTTACAAGTAATTCCATTGTACCCACTAGCACATACACAGGAATTGTTGCTTACACATGCTCCATGAACACAAGGACGATTACAAAAAACTATAGTAACAATTATTATAATTTTTAAAATGTTGAATTTAGAAAATACCAGGTTTAAGCAGTTTATTGACTTGATTAACTTCTTCACGAGTTTGTTTAGTGTTTCGTCCAATATTTATATTGCCAGTGGCAGCAATATCAAATATACAAAGCCAGTCCTCACCACACATCTGTAGTAATAAATATGAATTACATTAGGGTTCAATAGTATAGGGTTTCTCAATATTTATCAGCTCATAAAAGGTCCTTTTTAGTTTACTTAGCACAGATATTTTATTTTGTAGGTTGATACATGTATTTCTGTAAAAAATATTTTTTGCAGTTGATATTTATGCAACATGTAAATTAATTTGGCATTGATTCTGATTAAAAATAGATTTTTTTTGATATTGAAAGCTGCCTCAAATTTTTGCCAAAAACTCTAAGCAATGATACAGAGTAAAAATGATACAGTACATCCCAAGTTATTGTCGGTCAAAATTTTGTATTATCTGGATTTTTGGCTTCTTGTCAACTCATGAGCTTGTTTAGCATGTTTGTGGGAAACCCTAGCTCACAATAATTACAATGATCATACTTTTCTGGCATTCTTTTCAAGTATTGAATCATTGAATATTGCAGTAAAAGCAGGTTCATATTCTGGTCTATAAAACACATTCCAACTCCCTCCTGCATTGTAAGTGAACAGGCTGTCCAGTGGATTGGTAATAATCCCTATTAAACGTTATGCACAGCATTATAATAATTCATATGCAGCTTACAAGTTAGTCCAAACTGACTATGTATCACCTCATTGCTGGCATTAGAAGGAATGGTATTGCTAGATTTTGACAACAGATCATCTTCTGGTTTACCATTATAATAACCAAGCAAGCCAGCTGTGTTATGTAGGTAAAGATTAGATAGAGATACAGATATATCATACAACATAATGTCATTCCCTTTCAAATTTATTGTTATTCCAGGATATATTGTCACAGTGTATGATTGATTGCCCTTTTGTGACACAGTTAAATGCTTAAATCGTTGTTCAGAGAGTCCCTTAAAATTAATCATGTCCCCATTCACTAGTACCTTTAAGTTATTATTACTTATTTCAAACTGGACAGTATCTGAATCATTGTGCTTAGCTACTATTGCAGTAATAACTGTTCCACTAGTCTGGTTGGTATCATTACTAAAGGGTTCTGTCATTCTTGCTTGTATCATTAGTAATTCATCCATTGATTTCACTAGGATAAATTCACCATGTCCATTGAATGTATATTGAGTCCCATCTAAAGACACTAAGTGAGGATCACCAAATGTACGAGCTAAAAATTAAGGAATAATTAAATAAGGAACTGCAGTAATAAGAATAATTGAATAAAAAATTATAGCTAATCATAGCAAGCATTCTTCTCACATTTTAAATTTTTTTCTGGTTTTACCTCTGCAGGCAATTACAACATAAAGAAAGTTCATAGAAACAATAAAATTGAATCAAAATTGACTCAGACTTTCTACAGCATAGCATGTAATGCATTCTATTCTTCCTATGTTTGTCAAAATACCAGTACGGAATATTTTGCCATATTTTTGAGTAACTTAAAAAATCTACTGACAAGAAGCTGAAGTTGAACTTAATGCCAAAATCCTGTGGGAACCCTGCTCAGGCGTATGTCTTTAAATCAAAGCTCTACATTTTAAATTGCTACATATATTAATTAAGAAAGAAAAAGATAACTATATCATTTTTGCAATTTTGACTGTCTTTCATCATGCCGCAATATTTTCATAAAACTTCAAACTTAGTTAATACAAATAATTATTATACAATATACTGTACCTGGCAATGGTCGTTCAGGGTAACTTGAACAATTATCATTTGGCCTTTTGTCATAATAGCGACTCTGACAGCCAGAAAAATACTTTCCAGCACAACATAAATGACGAGGAGCAAGATCTTGAACTACATGACCTAATATTTTAATGAAAATGATAAATAGACTATCAAAAAACAAATTTATTTTACCTGCAAGGGCCAATAAGTTGCTAGGATAAACACTATATGCTGACCCACCATCAGTACCAGTTAAAATGTTTCCATCATCACCATAACAGCATTGCTGGCTTGGGCCAAAAAAACTATATATCAAAATTGCAAGGAAAAATACTAGTACAAGTAATAGATAAAATGATGGCATACCTAACATTACTTTGTCTATAACAACCATTAGTTGCTGCTTTTCTATCGAAATATTCTTCCCTTATATAATCTTCCCAATTTTTTTCTTCAGCATATCTGTCATCTACTGTGGCTTGATTCTTATTACAAGGGCACGGTGGTAGTGCCTCAGTGTTTATACCACCATCAAATTTATGCCATAATTCACATCCTGCACGAAGTTTAAGTGACCTCGCAACCTCTTCAATTTCTTCTTTAATTTTGTCTTTAATTATTTTCTTGACTTTTCTATATAAATAGCGAAGAGCTGCTTTTGCACCACGACGAAATAAAGTACGAGCTGCTATAAATGCTATAGGAAGAATTGGAACTCTCTTCTGAATTTTGCTTGACAAAGTGAAATTGCTGATAGTAACTCTTATTTGTGATAAGCGAAGAGATGTGTCATTAATCTCAGGATAGTCAGGAATAATAACTTCAGCTCTTTCATCACTAGCTGGAACATCTGATGCTAATGTTTTTGGGCTCTCCCATTGATGTAAATCAGTATTATATAGTATCTTTTAATTAAATATTCATTAATTAAGTAGCAAAATTGTAAATAATAAGCTTACCATGGTTATGTTTACCGTAACATTGTAACTATGAAGCAATCCTTCTGTAAGAGCTGATTCATTCCATGTTACATTAACTGCATCCTCTGTTCCAATATAGTAACCATCATTGCTTATAACATCAATATCAGACATTGTATCTTCCAATAGAAAAGGGAGAACTGCGCATTACATAAATATTACTAACAACAGAATATCACCTATAGGTCAATTACCATATCTGAATTTTGTTTTTCCTGTTCGAGCTGTTGTTCCCCGCTTTATTTTAACAGTAAAATCAACAATTCCATCATTAGCACCAAATGGTGTAACACAAAAACACTGTTCTTCGGATAGATAGGCCCCAGGAATCTCAATGTGACCAAACGTACAGTTAATTTCATCATCAGCCATAAAAACTGGTCCAGTAATAATAACTATTTCTCCTCCCAGCACACTACCAACTGACCGGCTAAGATGAACAGGAAAAGAACCTAGCAATTTATTCATGTAATCTTAATTGTTACTACTTCTTGTTACATACCTATACACTTTACTCCAGCATCTTCATAATGATAACAGGATCTGACACTATACATGTCCCTATTACACTCCAGTACAGACATTTCATTTCCATTGCACCAAAGATTTGATAAAAATATAGGACCAGGCCCTGATCCATAAAAAGCACCATATCGAGCAGTGGCTTCTATAGCATGATTAACAATAATTTGATGTACAATATAACTATACCTGAAGGATAATATCCCAGCTGTTTACAGACAACGTTGGCATCATTAGTACCCCAACTATCATCACAAACACTTCCCCACACTCCATTTATGCATACTTCAACCCTTCCTTCTGATTGTGTAGGACCATTTACTAATCTTAAAGAACCATGTTCACAGTTACTGACATGTATACTAACATCTATAAACGAAAATAATAATAAATTTCCATGCATGTCTACCTTGACAAATGACTCCAGCATCAGCAGTACTATCACAATTTGAATTGTCTCCACCATATTCAATAATGCAATCCATAATGGAATCTTCTGTTCCATTACAAATGACAGATTCTATGTTTGTTGGCAATAGTGAATGACTGTATCCATTTTTAGCAGCAATAGCACCTTAATATTAAATGAAATTAACTATTATTATTTACTATTTATAATGTAAATACCATACGAAGAAAACCCTTGCTGTTTGCAAATGACAGAAGCAGCATTATCATTCCATGCACGGTCACAAATTGTTCCCCAAGTTTGATTGACACAGACTTCAACACGTCCAAAAGAAGGATTTGAACTACCTACTATTCTCACTTGCCCATCAGTGCATAATACTATAGTATTCATAAGTAAATTAAAGACATGAATTTAATGTTGTACCTTCACATTCAACACCTGCAAGTTCATATCTGTAACATCTTAAAATTCCATAACTATTTGGTCTACGACAATCTAGCAAAGTTTCTTCCCTTCCAGTACAGTCTAAATTGGCTACCATAATTGGCAAGCTACTTGTACCATAGTAAGACCAATACCTTGGCTTGGAACCTTTTGATCAAAGTTCTAATTTAAATATGATAACATGATAATTGCACTTACCAACTCGTTGATATCCCAGCTGCTTGCAGGCAACATTGCTATCAAATACTCCCCAGCCATCATCGCAGACACTACCCCATGCATTATTGATACAGATCTCAACACTTCCTTGATTTGATGTTGATCCACCTCTCAGTCTCAATTGACCAGTTGAGCAATTGGAGAAAGGTATGTGTAACCCTGTACACACGTTAATCAGTTAAGCATAACATATGAGGTCATAATTACCTTGACATATTACACCAGCTTCATTCTGAGCACAATGCGGATAAGATACTTCATATGGTGTCAAATGAAGTGGGCAGCTAAACAAATTTCCTTCACTACCAGTACAATTGACCCCATAGACACGCATAAGAAAGGGATAAGACACTGTCACAAATCGACCATAAGCAGCCATTGCTCCTACCAGCAAACAATTGTTATCATCCAAATACATGTATAGTTACAAACCATAAGAAGAATATCCTGTTTGACGACAAACAACAGCTGCATCATTGTTGTCCCACTTATTATCACACACTGTTGCCCAAGTTTCATTGACACAAACTTCAACACGTCCAATACCTGGTCTACCTCGAATGCGAACACTTCCATCAGTACATAAACCTTCATTAAAAATAAATGTTTTTTTGTTGTATAAGTATATATAAACAAGAACTGACAAAAATCAAAATGCACTCACTTATATACACAATGTACAGGATTACCAAAACTACCGTAATTCTTCTAAAAGTTTGCCATAGTCACTTTCAATAAATAAAAAATGAATCATTCATGAATAAATAAATTCATGAATCTCGTTCACTATCAACTAAACTGTATAGGCCCACTAATGGCAATCATTTGTCTGGCAGAGTGCTGCTCGAGGAATCACTGTGAGCTAGACATGACTCTTCCACCACAGGAGGGAAATGGCAAAATCATAAGAACTTTACAAAACGAATAATTAGAATTAATTTTAAAATAAAAGTAAAATTATTTATTTTGAAATTAGAGTTGAGAAATTTTAGAAGAATTACGGCACACAACATTACCTAACATGAAAAACTATTACAGTCACATAACACAGCATGCAAAAAAGCCTACATACATGTACCATATAAATTTAATGATAGTACCTAATGGTTTAATTATCACAATTATGCTTACCTATACACTTGACTCCAGCTAATTCAGTAGAAATACAATTTAGCAGGTGGTTAACAGATGATCTCTGGCAATCCAGGAGAGTTTCTTCTGATCCAGAGCAATAAAACAACCCATAAACAAAGAATGGACTCTCAGAAACTCCAAAAAAATTATTTCTATATACTTGAGACCCTATAATATAAAGAAGCAATCAAAGTAAGTGTTATATAGAATATGAACTCACCATAAGGTTGGAGCCCTAATTGATTGCATAAAACATTCCCATCATTACTATCCCAGTAGTCATCGCATATGGAGCCCCAAGTATTTCTATAGCATATTTGTACATTCCCTTCATTATTTGTATTTCCTCCAACTAGTCTAACATCACCATCAGTACAATTATCATATTGAGTAGTATTACCTACGTTTGAATTTATAATGATAGCAGCAGAAAGCCATTACATTAACTTACGCATACAAAATACTGCTGCATCATTCCTATCTGTACAACCTTCTCCACTGTAAGTTGTACTATATTGGCAGTCCCATAGTGAACTCTCGTTACCAACACACTGCAATTCAAATATACCCATCGGCCACTCATAGTTGATATAATCATTGGGTATTGCAATGGAACCTGTGCGTCACAAACCAAACAAATCATTATAAATGTACTGCTGTACATTACCATAATGTGAATATCCTAACTGAGAACATATTACAGTAGCTTCCTGTACTGTCCAACTATGAGAGCAAATAGTGACCCAAGAGCCATTGTAACACACTTCAACTCTTCCTCTTAATTCGGCTTTGTCTCCAAGTCTTATAGATTCATTAGTGCATGCAGCTATATGTATAAAAAAGCAAACATCTGATTAAGCCACTACCAAACTATATGTAGTGATACAGACAGATCACAAATTTAAAATGATCATTACACAAAAAATTTCTGACTAACAAATTTTATGCTCACCACAGCTGTAACTTAAAATGTATCAATATGTATTATATCAGAAAATGACATAAATATTATACTTTGACCATGCATGCATGAATGACATTAAGTTTGTCCATTAATTGGTAAGTGGATTTTTTCATGCACAATGTACTGTTAGCTCAAAAATTTGTGACCACAAACTTTACATGTAACATAAATTTAATTTTATTGGAGTCATTTTTGGCAATTTTATGTACTAGATTAATTGGGCCATAAAAATGTATAATGAAAATACTTTGACTAGATATTGGTAATTTGCTATCTTTTGCATCATGCAAAATTAGCAATTCTTTACAAACTGAGTGCTTAAAAAATTTATTTGTGTTATTCTGGCTAAGAGAAAGGTAAAAAAAATAATAAATAAAGGCTGTTATTCTTACATTCACAAATCACACCAGCACGACTACTGTGAAAACAACCAGTGGCATGACATGCTCTCTGATTGCACTGAAGTATGGATTCTTCAGAGCCACTACATTGAAGATGAGACATTAGTATAGGGGCAGTTCCAGGACCAAAGTTTTTGACTCTTGCTCCTGTGAAAAAATTGATTTGTAGAATAAGTGTAATAATTATTTCTTACCAAGTGGAAGATAGCCTAGCTGTTTACAGATAACATTACTGTCTGAAATATCCCAGTAATACGAACAAACAGCTCCCCATGCCTCATTAATACACACCTCAACTCTTCCTTCATGTAGATCATTACCATCGACAAGTCTTACCTCACCATTGGTACAATTGGTTTGTTCAACAAACTCTATTCATTACTTCACACTTATGCAATTAAAGTGAATAGCACATTACCTTGACAAAGCAACCCAGCATCATTATATGAGGCACAGTTGTGCAGTGATGGATTACTATGTGAACAGTTAAATAGGCTCTGTTCTAAACCAGTACAGTTTAAATTTGTAATACCAAATGAAAGTTGTCCCTCAGTATAACAACCATAAGTTGGCATAGCACCATAAGGAGAGTATCCTATTTGTCTACAAGCTACCATTGCATCACTTAAATCCCAATTCTGGTCACACAGTGACGTCCAAACTGTTTCAACACACAACTCTACACGACCAGCAGTCTTACTTGATGCACCAGCTAGCCTTACGTCACCATTGTTACACCTTTCTATTTTTAAAAAAATAATTAAAGTTGATAGTATATTATTTTACCTAAACATACTACACCAGCTACATTTCCATCACCACACTTTGTCACAGCAGTGAGAGTATTATAGCTGGTGCATGCCAATAATGATTCAACAGTGATATCAACACATTTTAGATCATTTATTATGTGAGGAGTATCACTATGGCCAAAATAACTGTCAGTAACAATAGTGACTCCTGTAAATGTAAACACAAAATTTCTCATTTTGAAGAATATTTACTTTACCTGTTTCTCTATGTCCAAGTTGTCTGCAGACAACTATAGCATCATTATTAGACCAGGAATCATGACAAACTGACCCCCAGAAATTGTTGTAACAAATTTCTACACTTCCTTCAAACTCATTAATCCCACCTACCAATCGAACACTTCCATCAGTACAGTTTAAGTCAGCACTTTGATTGTGATCTAAAAGTGAATGTTAATTCATTTCAAAATATTAAGGAACACACATGTACTTTGGCAAATGATGGCAGCATTCCAACAGCTTTGTGTAGTAGGAGCTGTAAAAGAGCAATTCCATATGCTTGTTTCATAACCATTACAATTTAAATCATTAATTTGCAAAGAACGTGAATATTGGTAATTTGTTGCAGGAAGAATAACAGCACCTTTACAATTAATAAAATATGCACAAAAAGGTTGACACTAACCATTAACAAAAAATCCTAACTGCATACAAACTACAGTCAAATCAGCTCTATCAAAACTAGCCCCACAAATGGAGCTCCATTCTCCGTCTATGCACACTTGCACAGCACCAATATTATCATAAGAAGAGCCATTCAAACGCAAATCACCATTATCACATTTTGCTATAAAAGTGGGTAAGATTCATTGTATAAAGTGTCTATTTCACCTTGGCAAGTCACTCCAGCATATCTAAACATTCCATTAGAGCAGTCAATAACAGACTTCACACAGTCCCACAGTGCTTCTGAACTTTCACTACAGCCAAACTCATATGGAACTAGTGGAAGTGTATCATATACAGTAAATGTATCCAAATAACCAACTGCATCTAAAACAGAATTTTACTAAAAAGGGTTATACAAACAAATCCTACCATATAATGAAAAATTCAGCTCTTTGCAAATAGTTGAAGCAAAATAGTTACTATTGTAATTGTCTGCACAAACTCCATACCAAATATTACTGTAGCATATTTCCACTCGTCCTTTCAAAACAGCACTACCATTAGATAATCGTAAATCACCATCAGTACAATTGGAGAATTCTACTGGTATATCTGGATCAGAAAATAATATTTATTGTATTATTACCAATACAATTATTTACTGTTGCATGAAATAGATGTGCTGTGACTAGGATCACAGTTATACTTAAACAAGCTATTACTGCGGCATTCTCGTATTACTGATTCATTCCCAATACAATTTAAATCATTAATAAGTATTGGAAGATTTCTACTTCTAATGCTATCCACTCTGACTGATCCTACAATTAATATTATGGTATACTTTAATCATGTCATTTGTCAATTATTACCTTGTGACAAGTATCCTAACTGCCTACAAGCAACTTCAGCATCACTATCATTGAAGAAGTCACTGCAAATGCTACTCCAAGTATTACCAGAGCATACTTCAATATGTCCAATGTCATTGCTATTAGTGGAATGTGGAATAAGTCTTATATCTCCATCAGTGCAATCTGAGAAAAAGCATATGACACATTATTTAAATGTACAAACTCACTGTGGCACCTCACAGCCACAATACTTAGTACATCACATGAAGATGGTTTTGTATAATGACTAATTGAGCAGTCTTCAATGCTGGTGTCATTAACAGAACATTCAATATCAGTCACTAACAAGACATCATTGGACGAGTTAGAGAAATAGTGGCTATAGAGAGACCCTCCTGCAATAACAACCAATTAATGTCATGTTTAGCTGTTAACATAATATACCTCCAGAATACCCAGCCTGATAGCAGACTATCTCAGCATCAGTAGAATTAAACGTTTGATCACACAAAGTTCCCCACACTCCATTTAGACACATCAGAACTTTACCTTCATTAGCAGTGGTACCTCCAACCAACTGAACATCATAATCAGTACAATTAGCATGTGCCACATTAATATCTACATGTAAGAAAAGTTTTAAAATATACATGTATTTTATACCATATCACCCCATATTTTGTTTCGATAATTTTACAAAAAATTGATAAAACTCTGGTTAATTAACCAACATGTGCAGCTATTACAATTGCAGCCAGTAGTTTTTGTAATTATTAAAATTTCATGAAAAACCACAAAAATTACAGACAATGGAAATTTAGAGCTATGCAGTATTACCTTGACAGATAACAGAAGCATCTTCATAGAAATTACACTCGGAGTAGATAGAAGCTTCAGTGCTATACAAACAATCAAATATACTAGATTCACTACCATCACAATTCACATCAAATATAGTGTGAGGCAAGAGACTTTCGTTATAAAACGATGTTTTGGATATTGCACCTACATGTACATATGTTTCATAAGTGTGATCAAAAATATAATACAGTACTAGTGAGTTCTAACCATAATAAGAAAATCCCAACTGCCTGCATAAAACACTAGCATCATTGTCATCCCAATTGTCATCACAAATAGTACCCCAGGTTTCATTTAGACATATTTCAATGCGACCAAACATATTATACCTCAAATCACCTCTGAGTTGAATGTCTCCATTTGTACAAGGGGCTAAACAAAAAAATAATACATCAATAAATGAAATTTTATCCTAGCTGCATGCTGCATTGTACCTAAACATCTAACACCAGCACGAGAAGCACAAGTAGAGGTGTCATGCATGCAGTCCAGTAATTTTGTTTCATTTCCAATACAAGAAAAGGACGAAAAGTGCTCAGGACCAAGTCCAATGCCAAATGAGGCAGTAACAGCACCTAAACACAAACCACAATAAATGTCTGTACAAATGTGCACACTGTTCTACTCACCAATGCCAGTATGCCCTAATTGTCTACAAGCAACAGCTGCATCTGGTTGATCCCAACCATTGGTACAAACACTTCCCCAGGCACCATTAAAACAAATTTCTACATGACCTTCATACTGTGACTGACCTCCTACTAGTCTTACATCACCATTTGTGCAGTTGTCTGCATTGTCAGGTTCTATCAAAAAGATGAAATCAAAATTGATAAACATTTATTACAATACCTTGACAGTGAACCCCAGCTCCTTCATAATGCCAACAAAAGGTTAATTCTGTATTATATGAACAATTCCATATACTTCCTTCAGTACCATTGCAGTTTAAATCATAGATATGAAATGGGGGGATGTCATAATAACCTTCACGTGCAGTTGCTCCTGAAACATAAAAGAATTAATTAATTTTTGGCTATTTATTAGCACTAACCTTCTGCAGGAAATCCAAGTTGTCTACAAAAAACACTAGCATCAGTGTTATCCCACTTTCTATCACATATTGAACCCCATGTACCATCGACACAGACTTGCGCTTGACCCTTTAAAGGATTTGAACTATAGACTATCTTAATAGCACCATTTTCACAAGGTTGATAAACTATACATACAAACATAGTAGAAATGTAGACATGTATTGTCATACCTTGACACCGAACTCCCATGTCATTATTATGATTACGATAAGTGGGTCTTTCATTATAATCATAATCACAATAAAACCAGGAGCTGTCATGTGATTCACAAGAAAGATAAGTGAGTAGTACTGGACCAGTTCCTTCACCAAAATATGACCCACTGAAACTCATTGCACCTAAACAAAAAATTATGAACACAATAAGGGACAAAGAATGTTACCTGTTCTCAAATATCCAAGCTGATTACATATTGTTCTAGCTTCATATCCTCTATGAAAGTAATTTACAGTCCCCCAGGCATTATTGATACAAACTTCTACTCGACCTTCATTTGGAGTTCTACCACCAACTAATCGAACAGCATAATCAGAACAATTGGAGTAAGTAGAGCCATGAACTATAATAATCACATTTATAAAAAATTAAAGGAGATTATTACTTAATTTTACCTGGACATATGACATTAGCATCATTTGTACTATAAGGTGTGCAGGAATAATAAGAAGAAGTATGAGCTGGACAGTCCAAAAGGTGACTTTCGGTTCCTGTACAATCAAAACCAATCAAAGTGGGATAATTCCTGTTATAGTACCAATTAAAACGAATGGCTATAGCACCTTTGAAACAACAAAAATTAATCAAGAGTACTTTGCAGCTTATACTTTACCATATGGAGAATATCCTAGTTGCCTGCAAATTACACTGGCTTCAGCATTATGCCAATATTTTTGACGACATATAGTATGCCATACTCCTTCAACACATATGAAAACCATGCCATAGTAATGATTACTAAGACTAATTGCTCCATTTTTACATTGCTCTAAAAATGATTACAATTGTGAATATTTTTATTATTGTATTCACATACCAGCACATGTGATGTATACTCCTTGATAACAATATTGTGCAACTGAGTCAAGATTATAACTACAAGAACTCAACCTGCTTTCACTACGACCACAACTATATCTGACATATGACGTGGGCTGTTTCCCATCATGTGAAGTAGTTAAAAAGCTGTTGTCTGTTGGAATTAAATACCATAGATTATGTACACACAGTTACAATATTTGAGCATACCATATTTGGTGTAGCCTAGCTGATAACACAACACATTGGTATTTTCTATAGTCCAATAATAGTTGTTATTACAAATGGTAGCCCAAACTCCATTAGTAAATACTTGAAGAAGTCCAGTGTTATTTGTATTAGCTCCATGTAATCTAAATTCACCTTCAACATAATTGGCAAGGCTTGCAACTGTACCTATCAATTATCTTATACTTGGAATATAAAGCTTGATTTGAACTAACCCACTTCTTGACAGAATACAGAAAGAGTGTTGTCAATAGGACAACTCCCTTGTCTCTGATGTTCACACTGAAAAATACTTGATTCATTACCATAACATTTGATGTTAAAGAGTCCATAAGGATATATTCTGTCATTCCAGACACCATAATAGCTTTTTGCACCTAGTAACAAGTACAAAATAATGTAGTTACAGATAAGTTTACAGTGTAAAAATTAGCATTCTTAGAGTCCAGCATACATAAGGCAACATTGTTGCCACTATCTTATCAAAGTGATTTCTCTCAAAATTTAAAAAAGGTAAAATGTAATACATTAAGCAAAATTAATATTTGAACATCACAGCAACAGGTTTAATCTTTCCTTTTAAAACAAGTGGGGATAAAAACACTAAAACACTATACAGTACTATGTAATACCATAAAGAGAGAACCCAAGACTAGAGCAAATAACACTTGCAAGTTCATTGTATCCTGTGTTACCACTTCCACATATTTTGAACCAGGAACCATTTACACAAGCTTTAATGTTACCAGCATTACTCAATGCACTAGAATATAATTCAAGTGATCCATCAATACAGGGGCCTATAATGAGATAAAAAATTAATCAGACACAGTAACATATGGCTATAATACATGTACCTTCACATGCCACACCAACTTCTTGATAATTATTGCAATAGAAACCAGTTGGATACCTAGACTTAATGCAATGTCTTAAGTTCAATGAATTGTATTGACAAGATAAAGAATAGAGAACAATTGGAAGGTTTCCAATGCCAAAATGAGAATCACTAAAAAATTCACCACCTAATCTATGATAATGTAATCGTAAAGAGGATAATGCCTTTACCTTGATAGCCTAACTGCCTACACACAGTGTAAGTATTGTAGTTATTCCAGTTTGTATCACACACTGAACCCCACATTCCATTCACACAATACTCTACTCTTCCTTCAAATTGATTTGATCCATCAGTTAGCCTGAGATCACCTGAGGTACAACTGGAATTGATTACACCAGGTACTGAAAACCTATAATGTTAACATACAAAAAATATTTGCTGCTTACATTGACAGATAACAGCAGAATCATCTTGATTATTGCAAGAATAGTCATTAATTCCATTCATAGGGCAATCCCACAGTGATTCCTCAGTCCCAGTACAGTTTAGATCATTGATATGCACATACCACACAGATTCAGTAAAGGAGTTAATAATGGCTGTAGCGCCTACAAGGATTATATACTTAAAAACATAAGTTTTTTTTAATTAGAAAATACAAAAGTAGTTCTTAATAACAGAATAATGTCTGATTTATTACCATAAGGTGAATATCCAAGTGTTCTACAAACCACACTAGCATCTTTATTATCCCAAAAGTCATCACAAATTGTTCCCCAGGCATTATTGACACAAACTTGAACTCGTCCATATCTCCTGAAGTAGCTACCAGATTCACTGTATAAACGTATTGTTCCATTTTGACATGGAGCTGCAAGTATAAAAAATACATGAGTAAAGGTCATTATCAAATTGGGTGTGAAAAGCCCATGCAGGCACAATAATATCATACCGTACAAGTAGTAAATTATAATTTTTTTTTAATTTTGAGAAAATTACTTTTTTATTTTCACATGTGCATGTACATACACATGCTGTGCATGTGCAGTCTTTTCAAAACAGCATTAATTTTATGGCTAAGAAATCACTTACAAAATTTTCAAAATTAAACAACTCATGGAACTTTATTTACAGAAGTTCATTCAGCCAATAATGAATACCTATTATCTACTCTTGATACCATTAATAACTTTAATTACAATAACAAATAAATAATCTTTATAATCATGTAATCTGATGGGCCTTTTGCATGTGGCATGTCAAAAATAGTACCTTCACACTTTAAACCAGCATCATAATCATGGCCACAATAATGAATATCATGAAAATAACTATGCTGGCAGCCTAAGAGACTAGTTTCCTGTCCAGTGCACCTTAGTTTTGATAAGAATATAGGTCCACTGCCTCCTCCAAATCTTGTGTTTTTTAAATAAACCTCAGAGCCTATATAGACATGATAGTAGTTAGACAAACTGTAAATTCTTGGAATAAAGTAACTCTGAGAATAATTTTTAAAGTAATAATAACTGTTATTAGTAAGAAAAACAGACCATAAAATTGACAATATTTGCTTTATTCTAATTTCTAAGTACAAATGGTTGCACCAAAACTTTCAGTTACACAGCATGCATTTTTACCTATTTCCATGTGTCCCAGCTGCCTACATACAACATTAGCCTGAACAGAATTCCAGTATATTGAGGTAGTGAAAGAAAAATAATTTGGTTGATAAGAGCAAACAGTTCCCCAAGCCTTATTGATGCAAATTTCAACTCTTCCTTCATACTTAGTCTGACCATCTTCTAGCCTGACATCACCATCTTCACAATTGGACATTGGAGTGTTAGAGCCTGTGACAGAGCAGAAAATACATGTATATGAACTCAATTAAGAGTAAACTTACCTTGGCAAATTACTGATGCATCATGATTACTTGGGCAATTGTAATCAGTCAAACTATTATAAGGACAGTCGAGAAACTCGTTTTCATTTCCAGTACAGTTTAAATCAACAACCACCTGTTGCCAAGTGGAATCATACGAAAAGGCAATGGCTCCTATTAAAAGATCAAGAAAATAATAATGCTTAATATGATGTTACATAATAATAATTAAGCTATGCCATAGAGTACTTTAATTTAGCGAAATTTTTTTTGGTGATTGACAAGCAAAATCACCTATACTATAACAGCCAATCCGCCAATCAGTAATTCACGTATACAAGAAAATCAAAAACTGCTAAATGCATCAATTACAATTTTACAGCAAAATCGCCAATTTAAAGAGCCAATTTAAACCTGCTATCGATAAAAATGATGCAATCAAAGCAATCTTGGCTTTCTAATTACTGTAAATAAATAACTTCATTATACTTTAAAAAGGTATACAACAGGCCTTCATATATTGACTAATCTATAACACCATCAGCTCTGTGAACAATTAATACTCCATTTTAAACATGAATTATGGTGAGGAGAATATTAGGCAGTTAGGAACTACAACACTGAGACACAACACTGTACACATATTTGTTAAAATAAATATGGTTGAAACTGTGCAAGATTACATGCCACAGCCGCTCAATGGAAACTAAACTTCTTTTGGGTCTGCCTCATTTGAAATTACAATCTGTTCTACTACCTTGAAGCAGGTGCCAACGGTGCCATTATATTAGGAAATCATTAATATTAGTTTTACCATATGGAGAATATCCCAGTTGCCTGCAAATAACACTGGCATCATTGCCATCCCAGAAATCACTGCAGATCCTGCCTAGGGTTCCATTTATGCAAACTTCCACAAGACCGTGTGCTTGCGGCGTAATCCCCTAAAACCAATGAAAGTCTCAAATCAAAAAACATGCAAAGTACTATGTTTACTAACCACATAGCCATGTGTACACTCCTGTGAAGAATATCTCACACATAATGTTGTGAAAATTAGCGATAAAATGAGCAGCCTCATTGCCAGGTGGCTGTCAGCAATTAAGGATAGAGACTCAGTCACAGCTCCAGTAGGCAGGGGAATGATCCGGCTTGGCCTCTTGAGACACTCGCTAGGCCGGGCGAGGTAGCTCCAGGTTAAGTTGTCCTAGCTCGTAGGTGTGGTATGACAATAGACAATGCAAAATATGACGATCTATTGTTATATTTCGCATATGACAATAGATTTAATTCACTATTAGTCTTTCAACAGCAATATTGCAAAAAAACTTCGGGATTTTTACAAACTTATGTCACGAACAGAACTGATAAAACACTAACACTAAAATTTTCTTTCACTTAAGATTCAAGAATAACAATTAATATTACATTATTCCAAGGCTAATTCACAGTTCACAATGTTTTGAAAAATGCAACTTTCATGGCTATAATTGTGAAGTCACTAGAGAATACCAGGATAGTTAGACTACAAGTACAAAGTAACCATGCACATCAACAAAATTCCACAAAGTGAAAGTCCTTGGTTGCACGTGATTACACGTGACAATACAAGCGTATGCGCATGCGCAAGTTACCACAGGCGTGGGTGAGTGGGTGTATTATTATTTTATTAGTAGGTGTGGTGTCCTTGAAAGAAGCTCGATGGCTACTGTGAGTGAAGATCTCGGATTCTACATAAAGCAACATGTACCGTGGGCTAGACTGCCTCCTCCATTAAAAGAGGTATTGTAATGTGGTATTTAATTAATTTAGTTTCACTTTTAGTCTTTGAGTAACAATCACATTGCTTATGAGAGGTCAATTGTTGACTTTAGTATAACAAACCAGTTGATATGGAGAAGCAGTATGGGTAAGATCACATGACCTTGTACAATGTCATAAACTATGTGATAGTTCGACAGATAATAAAAAATGAAAAGAAATATTATGAAGACGTTTTGCAACACTGTCGCTCTCAATTATTGGTTAGTTTTGTTACCGTGTCCTCTTTATTGCCACTCCCCTTTAGTTATATCCTTATCACTTGCAAGACCAGTTTGTCCAAGGTCTCAAAGTGACACCTTTTGAATATTATAAGAGTATTCTTGAGATGATTATGATTGATCAACGGAGTTATGATTCATTACCTAATTTCACAGCCAGAGATTGTAAATTATTATTATTATTATACTTTTTATTTTTATTTAATGCATGTACATGTAGGTTTTAGGTTAATTGGTATTGGCAGAAATGAATATATTGATATCATGAACAAGTACAGATCAAAAGTAATGATAAGAGATGTTAAATCATTAATTATTCATCATTAATTATTATTATTATTATCAATTATTATCATTTTTTATTTAGAGGTTTTGGAAGAAGAGGTCGCCTAATGAGTATCTTCCAGTATCACCAAAAGAAGACATCTCCATTGATTCATACTGGCTGATAAATGTAGGATATGTTACTGAAGAAGAGATTGAAGTATGTTTGCATTGTTTTATTTGTTCACTAATCACTGCTTTTGAAAAGATAGTTCTGTACTTTGTTTATTTAATTACTGTCAATTTTTATTAGTACGTGTAGTAGTATAGGTTACACAAGCTTTCCCTCAAAGCATCCTAACTGCTACACGTAAGTGTGAGGCTTTGAGCTAAACAGCTTTCTTTATGAGCTAACAAGCACTACAATACACTACATGGCATTTTTAACTACGAAAAACTCATAAAAATACAATTTAGATCAAATTCAGCTCATACATCCTTCACAACATAAGAACATAAGAACATGCATATGTGTTTAAAAATTATTAAAAAAACATATTCCGTCAACTTTAAATTTTCTCAAGAATGACTAGGAGAGAATATTTTATTTTTATGTTTTTTCTGATACTTACACGTATACTTGTTCTTAATTGGCTTGCAAAGCAATATACATGATTATTATTATTGTTATTTATTATTATTATTAGAAATGCAGTGTTGAAGAACACAGGTTGATTGATAACATCATAGCCAGCAAGAAAGGACTGACTGCTGGAACATGCGATAAAGAAATGATTCACCGTAAGTACATGTACGTAACAACTCAGGTTTTTCCACTAGATTTTGGCGTAGTGCATGCAGTTTCTCTAAAATTTGATGAAGTACCATATGTATATGTGCAGTACATATCAAAAAAAAGGCTAAGTAGCTACCCCGCAGTTACTCTACTTTTGCGTAGGTAGTTCATTGCTCCTTCTCTGCACATGCTTACTGCAACAGTAGCAGGACAGTAGTGCGACAGTAGAAGACAGTAGCGCGACAGTAGAAGACAATAGCATGACAGTAGAAGACAGTAGCGTGACAGTAGAATCGAGCAAAAACATCCTAAACAGGCTTCTAGAAGGAGAGAGTGGCAATATAGATGAACTTGGAGAGGACAGACAGCCAAAAGAAGCATCCACAAGTTCTACTACAGTACATGTGACTGGGTGGGATCGCAGCATAACACAGCAAAGAGTAATGAAGAGTAGTGAAGTAGTAGCGAAGTAGTAGCAAAGTACCTACGAACTACCTTCAAGGTTCTCTTCTCTACTGTACCCTACTTAGCCTTTTTTTATGTACATGTACTACATTTACACATGTATGCGGGTTTTTTTTTCAAAATTGTTGTAAAGAAATTTTAGCTGATTCCAATAAAAATTGTGATATACGAATAAACATGTTCCTTCAAAATTTGGCTAAAGACCCTGTAGTGTACTTTAGTGCATGCACATCTACATGTGCATGGTCTTACATTCAGTAGATTAGAGTTTGGCTAGTTGTCTTTAATCGAATATAATCGAATACATAATGTACACGCCTGTTCTTGTCTTGTGTAGAAAGATTGAACTGATTACATATTTTTAATGAATTTTAAAAGTTACTCAAAAATTTGGCCAAAGTTTTTGTAATATAAATGTTCATGTACATTGTGCATGTAGTTCAAGGTCTTTGGCCATTTTTTTTCAATTTTAAATTATTAAGAAAAAATTTTCAATTTTTATACACATAATTTTAAAGGCATATTTGTGTGCTGTGTGGAAATTTCCAACTGATTTCAATATAAATTGACTTTTAACAAATTTATAAATTTACATGTGTAATTGTTCCAAAATCAGACCATGCAAAGACCCTTTCATTACCATATGCTAAATTTTACCAAAAATGACTGTAGGATTGAATTTTTTATTTTTTGATATGTTTATGTGCATGTTTTTTATGTTGTATAGCATGTTTGAACTGAATTTGATTTTTTTAGAATTTTTAATGTTTTACTCAAAAATTGTGTCAAAGTACAGGCACATGTACGTGTACAAGGTCTTTGCTAAATTTCACGAATATGACTAGGACAGAATTTTTTGTTTTCAAATTTTCTTCTGATACTGTACTTACATGTACATGTACATAATTTTACATGTACACATGTGTTCTTGCATGTACATGTTCTTTGTGTAGTAAGTTTGAGCTGATTGTGTTAAAGCTAATTTGATTATTTATGAATTTTAAAGTTGCCGTTTTAGTTCGCTTATTTAATGATTTATTAATTTGTTTATTAATAGGTTTATATAACAGACAGCTGATATACTGTGTGATACCAATAGATGATGATGATTACATTGTAGTCCCTCCTTTAAAAGGATTTGTAATGAACAGGGTCTCTGGGGATTATTTCGAAACGTTGCTATATAAAGTGTTTGTTACTATTAATGAACACACTACTGTCAGTGAACTCGCCAATGTACTTCAGATTGATCTACAACAAGTTAAAGTAAATATTTAATACATTATTACATCTACATGTACTGTACATGTATGTACGTGTAGTGTAGATATAAAGAAATATTCATGTACATGTGTACATTGTGTAATTGTACAAAAATTAATAAAGTGACATACATGTACTTCATGTACTCTACATGTACAAAAGATAACTATTTACAAAAATACATATACAGTATGCTGATCTCTGTTAGAAGATCAGCAGTTATATCCCGAAGTTCATTATGTCTCAGAGATGGAAAGCCACCACATTTACAGTTGAGAGCATGCTCAATTGACATACTTGAGCCACAGACACAATGAGAGGACAAATGAAGAGGAGTCCAGCCATACCTGAGACACAGTGCATCACGAAATGCACCTTTATGGAGGGCAAAACTGTGCTCCTTGATAGGTAGGGCAGTGAGCCAGGAGGAGGCACCCGATTCACTAGCTGCTTCTAGACAGCGTAATGAAGAGGTGTCAAGTAATAGAGTCTCGTAGGTTGGAAATAAGAGCGTCTAGGTTTTCTTTGTGACTCTGTTTCACTTGATTCTTT